CGACCGTGAAAGACGCAGGCTGCACAGCGCCAGAGCCAGGCGTCTGTCCACCTTCCTCCGCAGGCTGAGAAGCACCGCGAGGCGGCGCAGGCTGAGAAGCACCGCGAGGCGGCGACACTTCGGACGAGCCTCGCGGAGCAGAGGCTGCGGATGAACGTTGGGTATGGGGGTACGGCCAGGGGAACGCCATTGCAATCGAAACTGAGTGGACTGCAGTGAGTGAATGCAGTGGCACGATTGAATGCAGTGGACTGCAGTGTCACTAGCAATTCCTGAACCAAACACGGCTGTGGCGGAAGGACTACGAAGCGTCTGGCTATTCAAAATGTGGCCCGGGAATGTAGTTCTGGGAACTCGAAGACCAGGAAGTGGCCTACAGTTGGCTCCGGGCATCCAAAATGTGGCCCGGGAATGGAATTCTGGGAACTCGAAGAGCACGAAGTGTGTGACTGTTGCATCCGGCCCTCCAGAATGTGGCCCGGGAATGGCGTTCTGGGATGTCGAAGAGCACGAAGTGTGTGACTGTTGCATCTGGTTATTCTAAATGTGGCCCGGGAATGGCGTTCTGGGATCTCGAAGAACACGAAGTGTGTGACTGTTGCATCCGGGTATTCAGAATGTGGCCTGGGAATGGAGTTCTGGGAAGTCGAAGAGCACGAAGTGTGTGACTGTTGGTGAAAAACGAGCCCGGCACCCTGCCGCCCGGCAACTCCCCAACACCTGCCCGGACCCCCCTGTGGAGTGATCTGTGAGCTCTTTTGAGTCAACTAGAAACCTATCAGTCTTCGCTGTTAGGTAAAAAAAAAAAAAACAAAAAAAAAAAAAAAAAAAAAAAAAAAAACACGCCTGGAGCTTCGGCCCGTCGCGCCGGCCGCCCGAAAGCGATAGCAATCCCCCCAAATCCCCAAAACGGCTCAAGATGGCCTCCAAGATGGCCACGTTGGCCCAAGATGGCCTCCAAGATGGCCTCCAAAATGGCCTCCAAGTCCTCCCAAGGTGGTCCAACACGGCCTCCAAGACGGCCCAAGATGCCTTCAAGTTCGCCCAAGAAGCCTCCAAGACGGCCCAACACGACCCAAGAGGTCTCCAAGAGCTCTCCCAGGAGGGCCCGAAGAGGCCACACCATTCGTTTTCTGTAGGTGTTTGAAGGATTCTGGCGTTTGCTTCTTCTCGGCATTCCGACGGCTGAAGACGGCCCAATAGGCCCCCAAGATCGCCCCAAGATCGCCCACGAGGCCTCCAAGATGGCCCCATGACGGCCAGAGAGGCCCCCCAGACGGCCCCAAGAGGGGCCCAAGACGGGCCAAGAGGCCTCCAAGACACCCAAGATGGCCTCCAAGACGGCCGCGAAGCGCCCCAAGATGGCCCAAGCTGGTTCAGAGAGGCCCCCAAGACGGCTCCCCACGGCATCAGACGAGCCAGGAAGGCCCTAAGACGGCCAAAGAGGCCCCCAAGAAGCCCCCAAAGGCCCCCCAGAGGCCCAAGGAGACACCCTAGAGGCCTCCAAGAGGCCCCCAGGAAGCTCCCAGGAGGCCCCATGAGTGCCCCAAGAGGCTCCCAAGAGGCCTCCTCCTCCACCTCCTCCTTCTCCACCTCCTCCTCTCCCAAGAGGCTCCCAAGAGTCCTCCTCCTCCTCCTCATCCTCCTCCTCCGTTTTCCTGGTCCTCTTCTTTCTTATCCTCCTCCTCCTCCTCCTCCTCCTCCTCCTCCTCCTCCTCCTCCTCCTCCTCCTCCTCCTCCTCCTCCCCCATGTGTTCCCCGGAGGCTTTCCACAACGGCTTGGGGAGCATTTAGCCCGATATTTTGGGCAACCTCTGGCCCAACTTTCGGCCACAGAGGCGCTTTCCAAAAGGCAGGGGCCAGTGTCAGACGGGCCAGAAAAACCTCAAGACGGCGAAAGAGGCCCTCAAGAAACCTTAAATGCCCACAAGAGCCCCAAGGAAGGAGGCTCCCGAGAGGCCTCCAAAAGACCCTCATAGAGCTGTTAGGAGTGTCCACAAATGACCCAAGAGACCCCCAGAAGGTCTCTTCCTCCTGCTCATCCTCTTCCTCATATTCCTCTTCTATATGTTCCTCCCTCTCCTCCCTCTCCAATACCTTCTCCTCGTGTTCCCCGAAGGCTTCCCAAACCGATTCGGGGAACACATGGTCCGATAGCTTGGCCAAGCTCTGACCCAAGTTTCGGCCACATAGGCGCTTCCAAAAAGGCAGGGGGCGGCGGTGATTCGCCCTAGGCGTCCTCGATCCGCCGCCCTCTGTTGGCTTACCACAGGGGTGCCTGGCGTGCTGAATCCTATACGGCGTAGGTTTGTCTCTTTTCCCGAAAGAACTCCCCCTGGGGCTGTTGCCCAGCGCGCCGGCCACCCGGAAAGGTTCCCAAATTTCGCCCCCCGTTGCCCAGATCGCTTCTGAGACGGCCAAGATGGCCCAAGATGCCCTCCAAGATGTCTCCAAGACGCCTCCAAGACTGCCAAGACGGCCCCAAGAGAGCCCAAGACAGCCCGAAGATGCAATGCACCCAAGACGGTCCAAGATGGCTCCAAGATGGTCCAAGACGGCCCAAGAGGCCCCCAAGAGGCCTCCAAGGGGTCCTCGAAGAAGGCCCCCCGAAAAGGCCCAAATCATAGATGTCCCTAAGGTGTTCTAAGGATTTGGGCATTTGCTTCTTGTCGGTCTTCCGACAGCCCACGACGGCCCAAGAGGCCCCCAAGCTCGCCCCAAGACCGCCCAAAAGGCCCCCAAGATGGCCCCCTCACGGTCAAGAGGTCCCCAAGACAGCCCCAAAAGCCTCCAGGACGCCCAAGATGGCCTCCAAGAAAGCCCTGGAGCACCCCAAGAGAACCCCAAGTCGGTTGAGAGAGGCTCCCGAGGCGGCTTCCGACGGCGTCAGACGAGCCAAGGACGCCCTAAGGCGGCCAAAGAGGCTCCCAAGAAGCCCCCAAAGGCCCCCAAGAGGACCTAGGAAGCCTCCAAGATGCCCCCAAGAGGCCCCCCAGGAAGCTCCCTGGAGGCCCCAAGAGTGCCCCCAGAGGCTCCCAAGATGCTCCCTCCTCGTCCTCGTCTTCGGTCTCGTGCTCGTCCTTGTCTTCGTCCTCGTCGTAGTCGTCCTCCTCCTTCTCCTCCTCCTCCTGCTCTTCCCCGCCATCCTCCCCCAAATGTTTCTCGAATGGTTTCCACACTGGCTGGGGGAACACATTGTCCGATAGCTTGGCAGAGCTCTTGCCACAACGCTCGGCCACATGGGCGATTACAAAAGGCAGGGGTCGGCGGTGATTCGCCGTAGGAGTCTTCGATATACATATATATATATATATATGTATGTACTCAATATGGAAAAATATATTTCCTATTCTTGTATTCTTATTAACCGGACCCCCCCCCACCCCCCCACTCCCAAACGGGACCCTCACTCAAGGACGCCCCGGACGCCCTTTCGGACGTCTCGGCGGCCCCCAGGACGACCTTAGAAAAGGTCCGCTGGCCCTTCCGGGCCTCCCAGGGCGCGCTGTCTGGCCTTGCGAGCGAGCAGACTCAAAGTGATCAGAGGGGTCATCGGGGAGGCGCAAGAGAGACCCAAGACAGCACAAGAGCGTTCCAAGAGGAACCTCGATGGTCCGAAAAGGACCCTCCAGGCCCCGAAGACGCCCCATGTGGCCGTGAAGAGAGCCCCGAAGACGCACCGAGAGGCCCGATGGACCCCCGAAATCGCCCCAAGACACCCCAAGAGGCCCCCTAAAGGCTTTGAAGACGGCCCAAGAGGGCCCCAAGGCTGCCCCAGAGAGCCCCGGGACTGCCCACAAGAAGCCCAAGACGCCCCCAGAAGGCTCCCAAGAGTCACCCACGAAAGCCATGGGAGACCCCTGAAAAGGCCACTGGAAGCCCCCAAGAGGGCCCTCTTGGGGGCCTCCCAATGGCCATCTATAGGTGGCTTCAAAAAACCTCTGGAGGGTCCCAGCTCCCCAAGACAGCCCAAGAAGGCCCCCAGGACGGCCCAAGACAGCCCCAGGACGGCCCAAAAGAGCCCCAAAATCGTCTGGACGGCGTTCTCTGTGCGCTCGCTGCACTCACGCCAGCCCGCCTGTCTTTCCCGTACCTTTATAACCCTCTCTCTCTCTCTCTTTTTCTCTCTTTGCTTTTTTTTTGTTTCTCGCTCTCTCTCTCTCTCTCTCGCTCTCCCTTCCCCCTCTGCCTTCTTCGTCAACCTCCACGCTCGTGGCATCCAATGGCCATCCTCATTCGCCCGCTCCTTCCTCTGGGCCCTCTCCCCGTTTCCGCCCCCATTCCGCCTCTTCAGTCCCCCCGTTGTCCCTGCTCCCTTCCCGTTCCCCGTTCATCGACAGGTGCCACCGCAACAGTTTGATTTTTCGTCGTTTGCCAGCACCTTCGCGCGTGAATAAATATTCATTCCTTTCCCACTCTTGCGCACAAGCGTGCAAGCGCATCCGGCGAACGCGGTGTCAGCAGGCACCAAGGACATCATAAAAATGAGCCGATCGCCCGTCCAGGCCTCGAGGTATCCCCTGATGAAGCAAACGATGCCTTATTGCTTTGCCACGGAAGCGTCCAGAACAAGACTACAATGGCGCGAAGCGTCAATGCAGTCTCGTGTGCATGTATATATATATATACATATATATATGTTTCTATATATATACACATGTATGTGGTGGCGGGGTCTGGAAACACTGCACCAAAAAACAATACCATCTCTTGGGGAACCGATGCTGACTTCCGCAAGCTTCCGCCAACCTTCCGCCGCCTTCCACCAGCGGAGCCGCCCCCACTTTACTCCCGCCGCCTTCATCCGACCTTCTGCCTCCTTCAGCCGAGGAAGCGATGGCAACTCCTTCGGTCTTCGAAGTCGAGGCCTGGAACGCCTCATACAAAGACACGAACACACATATATACAGATGCCCAGGGGTGCTGCGAGGGGGCTCGGCGCCGGCGGAAATCCGCAGCCAGCGGACGTCCGAACCCACTTCTTGCGTGTCCCTCGGCTCCTTGCCACTGGCGTTCGGGTTCCGCTTGATGATGTCGTACAGCGCACCTTGGCGGCGCGCACCAGAGGGGTAGGGGGAGGGGAGAAGGCTTCTTAGAAGGAGGCTGCTTCTTAGAAGGCACTGGCCCTGCATCTGCAGACAAGGCCCGCGCCTTCGAAGAAGCAGGGGTGCTTCTAGGAAGCCCTCCCCCCTGGCCTCCTTACCCCCATCTGTGCGTGGCTGAGCACCCCCGCGCAGGTAGTCTCGCCGGTCACTGGTCAAGTTGTCGATGGGCTTCCCCAGCTGGCAGGCCCGCTCGATGGCCTCTGCCGCTGGCGCGGCGGCGGCAGCCGGGGCCAGGTGGTCTCCGAAGGCACCCAGAGGACTCCCGAGGCTGGCAGGTGCCCCCAGGAGGAGGTGGAGGAGGAGGAGGAGGAGGAGGAGGAGGAGGAGGACGAGGAGAAACATCCACGGGCGGAGCAGGGAGGGCTGGAGGAGGAGGAGGAGGAGGAGGAGGAGGAGGAGGAGGAGGAGGAGAAGGAGGAGGAGGAGGAGGAAGAAAAAGATGCACGCGCGGAGCAGGGTTGGCTGGAGGAGAAGGAGGAGGAGGAGGAGGAGGAGGAGGAGGAAGAAGAAAAGGGCCCAGACCTGAGACGATCCGATTGTTTCCGGTCGCTGGACCCTGGAGCTCTCCGCTTTCCTCTGGACTGGCTTTCTATCCTGAGCAGGCTCTTCCCTCATGGCGTTCCGCTAAGAGGGCTCTTCGAATGGCAAGCAGCGACCACAGAGGAGTCCCACCAGGGGGGAATGCGGAGCCCGAGGCTGCCCGGTCCGGGAGGCCCGAGGACGCCCGGTCCAGCAGCCGCGCCGCCTGCGACCTCCCCGAGGTGCGAGGAGGAGGAGGAGGAGGAGGAGGAGGAGGAGGAGAAAGAGGAGGAGGAGGAGGAGGAGGAGGAGGAGGAGGAGGGAAGAGGAGGAGGAGGAGGAGGAGGAGGAGGAGGAGGAGGAGGAGAAAGAGGAGGAGAAAGAGGAGGAGCCGTGCTCGCGCCTCGGTGCCGGCCACGTCGTGACCCAGACGTCCACTGGATCCCTGGCCGCAACAACAGCGCCGAAGGGCACGCGGCCGTGCCCCCACCCCATGGCCCGTAGGAGCCGACCGCCCGCTCCTCGGCCCACCTCTGCGCCCGCGCTGCTGTTCGGTGGCCCTGCGGAAGCCATTGATGATGCCAGGGCCTGGGAACGGCGCGGTTGCGCTTCGGGTCGCAAGAGGCCTGGGGCAACCTCCTGCCCAAACTTGAAGAGGCGCGCACCAGGGGAGAAAGGGGGAGGGGGATGCTTCTTAGAAGGAAGCTGCTTCTCAGAAGGCGCCGGCCCCACATCTATAGACGAGGCCCGCGCTTTCTGAGAAGCAGGGGTGCATCTGAGAAGCCTTCCACCCTGGCCCCCCCTCTGCGCGTGGCTGCGAGTCCCTGGGCCGTCTCGGTCGGAGCCGCTGCCGGCGAGCTTCTCGAGCTATGCCCCGCTGCGGCGAGGAGGACCCCCGAAGGCCGCCAAGCTGTCGCGAAGTGATTTCGAGACGTCGAAGCCCAAAGCCCCCAGATCCCCCCGAGGTTACGCCTTCCTCCCCAGGCAGACCCCTGGGCCCGCCCCCTCACCCTTCCCCTCCCCCTCCGCCTCCTCCTCCTCCCCCAAGGCCAGCTTATCCCGAGCAGTTCTCTGCGCGGCCCAAGATCGGGTGAGGGCGCCCCAGGAGCAGCGAGAAGCCAGGTCGAATCGGTAACTTTGCAGATTCGACCCCAACGGAGTCGGACTGGATCGATCGAACCGCAACAGGGCCTGGGGGGGGGGTCTGCGGAGGAGACGACGTAGGACGAGAGTGATGTCGTGCTGCTTTCTTCGCCCAGGATGCGTTCCAGAAGCTCCGGGGTGTCCAGCGGCTCTCGCTTCTGGAGCCCGCCCGCTACGCCGCCGCAGAGTCTCGGGACGGCGCAGCGGCGACGGGGCGAACGGTTCAGCTGGCCGACGGGTCCTCAGCGCTCTCCTGCGGGCCCGCCTGCTGTGCAAGGGCTCCAGGCGATCGGCCGCTTCGCGCGTGGCCTCCGGGAGTCCAGGGCGGCCTCTAGGGCGCGAAGTTCTTCGCGCTTCGCGGTCCGGCTCCGACTCTTCCCCGGCCTCCTCTCCCCTGGGTGGCGGCGCGAGAGCGCGAAGCGCCTCGCTTCTGGAGCCCGCGCGGAATCGGACACGTGCCAGTCGACACCACGGCGGCTCTCCCGCCCGGCCCGGACTTTTCTGGTCAGCATCGGCCCCCGGCCAGGCCCCTCTCCGGGGGAGGCCAGCCCGACCCCTTCTGCCTGGGCTCGGCGGCGGCCCCGGAGGGGAAGTGAGAAGGGCTGGGCCTCCTCGCTATGCTCGGAAGGCCCCTTGCCTTCAGAGAAGTGTTCTGCTCCGTGTCCCTCGATGGTACTGGGTCCCCAGACTACTGGTATCCCCGAGGCTACAGGTACCCATTCCCCCCGGACTACGGGTACCCCTCCCCGGATCCACAGGTACCTCCACCCGGACTACAGGTACCCCCCGTGAGGCGCTACAAATCCTCTCCGAAGCAACAGGACCCCGCCAATTCGCTATCCCCTGGGAGCCAAAGCGGCCCACAAAGTATGTCTCTGCACATTTCCACCCATCGCCCACATTGAGTCAGCGGTCGAGACGGGGCACTATCGAGGGACGAATGGGCATCGAAACAGGGACACAGCGACAAAAGGAAAGAGGCATCTGCAGAAAAAAGAGGCACACGACTAGGGAGGAAGGGAGGAACAGAGATATTCGGAGAGAACGAGAGACACCGACTGTCGGACTGACAGAAAGCGTGTGTGTTCGCGCGTGTCAGCGCGCGTGCGCGTGCGCGTGACGCGTGCAACGATGTGCGTGCAGTCCCGCGGGCGCAGACACCCGCGCGCCGAAACCCGTGCGCGTGGAGCCACGCGTGCTTCGACGAATGACATGCGCGCCCCCCCAGACTACAGGTACCCCCGCGCGGCTCCACCCCCGGACTGCAGGTACCCCCCCCCGGACTACAGGTACCCCTTCCCCGGATTACAGGTACCCCCCCCCGGACTACTGGCCCCCCCCCCGGACTACTGGCAACCCCACCCAGACTACAGGTACCCACCCGGGACACAGAGTAAGCCTGCCCCAGAAGCCCCGAAAACCTCTCAGTGAAGGCTGGGGGGCTTCTGAGATGCCCCGCCGCCTTCTGAGAGGGCCTCCCCTCACGTCCCCACCTCGCTCGCCGCCGATCTTGGGCGTCCGAGTTATCAGGGATAACTCAGGCCCAGGGCAACTCGGGTTCGGATCCCCGAAAAAAACGAACCCGAGTTAGCCCTGACCCGAGATACCCCTGATGATTTGGGGCTCTGACGCCCGAGTTATCCAGGGTAACTCGGGCACGGGGTAACTCGAGGTTCGGATCTCCGAAAAAATCGAACCCGAGTCAGCCCGGACCCGAGTTACCCCTGATGATTTGGGGCTCTGGACGCGCGAATTATCCGGGGTAGCTCCGGCACGGGGTAACTCGGGCTCGGATCCTCGAAAAAAACAAACCCGAGTTAGCCTGGACCCGAAAAAACCCTGATCATTTGGGACTCTGGACGCGCGAATTATCCAGGGTAGCTCGGGCACGGGGTAACTCGGATTCGGAATCCCGAAGAACGAACCCGAGTCAGCCCGGACCCGAGTCACCACTGATGATTTGGGGCTCTGGACGCGCGAATTATCCGGGGTAGCTCCGGCACGGGGTAACTCGGGCTCGGATCCTCGAAAAAAACAAACCCGAGTTAGCCTGGACCCGAAAAAAACCTGATCATTTGGGACTCTGGACGCGCGAATTATCCAGGGTAGCTCGGGCACGGGGTAACTCGGATTCGGAATCCCGAAGAACCAACCCGAGTCAGCCCGGACCCGAGTCACCACTGATGATTTGGGGCTCTGGACGCGCGAATTATCCGGGGTAGCTCCGGCACGGGGTAACTCGGGCTCGGATCCTCGAAAAAAACAAACCCGAGTTAGCCTGGACTCGAAAAAACCCTGATCATTTGGGACTCTGGACGCGCGAATTATCCGGGGTAGCTCGGGCACGGGGTAACTCGGATTCGGAATCCCGAAGAACGAACCCGAGTTAGCCCGGACCCCAATTACCCCTGATGATTTGGGGCTCTGGACGCGCGAATTATGCGGGGTAGCTCGGGCACGGGGTAACTCGGGTTCGGAGTCCCGAACAACAAACCCGAGTTCGCCCGGACAAGAATTTGCCCCTGATGTTTTTGGGGCTCTGGACGCGCGAATTATCCGGTGTAGCTCGAGCACGAGGTAACTCGATCGGGTTCGGAGTCCCGAAAAAGACGAACCCGACTTAGCCCAGACCCGAGTTACCCCTGATGATTTGGGGCTCTGGCGATCGGCGGATCCAGCCGTGGCGGCGAGAAACCTCCAGGAGGCCCTGCAGCAAAAGGAGGAAACAGGGGCCGGCAGGGAGGGCCGCTGTTCCCCCGACTGTGGGGGAGAGACCTAAGGTCAGGTCGGGCGTGTCCTCCTACAGGGTGACTTTCTGCACCAAAAATCAAAATAGTCAGAAAATGCCCACCAATCCTCAGAAAATGTTCCAACATAATCAGAAAATGCTCCAAAATGATCTTGTACGAAAGATGAAAATGGTCAGAAGATGCTCCAGGATAGCGAAAACAACAGTCCCCAGCCTATTTGGATACTCCTGCTGTGGAGGGACAGGCCCGACTTACATCTACCCATCGGTCGGAAGAAGTAGGTAGGAACATGAAGTAGGAAGGCGTTGAAAATAGATTGGGTTCCGCCCGCCCCCTAAGAGGGACGGAAAAGGTGAAGCCACTCGATCATTGAAGTAGGAAGACGCTTAAAGTAGATTGGAATCTGGGAATCCAAAAATACCTACTTTCAACGACCGATGGGTAAGGCTCGGGTGCGGGACTCGGCTTGGCCTGGCGGGGGGCGTCGGGAAAACGTCGAGGCTGAAGGGGCCCCAGGGGCACAGGTAACTGGGCACGTATCCCTGGATGCTCCACTTCCCTGGATGCTCCCCCTCCCCCTCCCCCCCCCTCTCCCCTCCCCCTCCCCCTCCCCCTCCTCCTCCTCCTCCTCCTCCTCCTCCTCCTCCTCCTCCTCCTCCTCCTCCTCCTCCTCCTCCTCCCTGGATGGCAACTGGGCACGTGTTGCCCCCGGGGGTCATGGACATCGACGTCCAGGCATGTCTGTGTGGTGAGCTTGTTCCTCCTGGGAGACCCAGGCTGGAATCTGCCTCCCCCTCCCTCCTCCTCCTCCTCCTCCTCCTCCTCCTCCTCCTCCTCCTCCTCCTCCTCCTCCTCCTCCTCCTCCCTGGATGGTATCTGGGCACGTACTGCCCCCTGGGGTCATGGACATCGACGTCCATGCATGTCTGTGTGGTGAGCTTGTTCCTCCTGGGAGGCCCAGGCTGGAATCTGACACGAGCTCCCGCGGCAAGCATCCCACGGAAACTGGACCGTCCAAATCCACAACCCTCGTCAAAAATAACCTCAAAAATGCCTCACGTAGCTGAACTGATTGTGGGAGATATCGGACCGAGTGCCGATGAGTGCGATGTACTTGTATGCGCCGCCCCTCCAATGTCGGTCATCTTTGAATTTTCGAGTCGCTCCCGGTCACACCACATCTGCCCTGGCCCCGACATTGAAGGGGCGTCGTATCGACATTGAAGGGGCGCGCCGACATCGAAGGGGCGTGCCCGCCATTTTGAGGTTAATTTTGACGAGGGTTGCAGGACGGGCCTGCCTGGAGGAACACAACACATCATTAGCATACATTTCCGAAGCTCCGCGCGGATTTCTTGGATATCGGCGCCGGGGCCCCCTGGCGACGCCTCTGGCTCCGCCCCGAATGCTTATGCTTATGCACTCTTGTCTAGCCCGATAGTCAAGCATCCGCTACACGCAAGAGTGGACCCTGGGTAAGAGTGACTTTTTTGCGCAGCTTTTTTGGGGCCGCGGGGGGACCAACACACAAGCGCGAAAGGCGCTCCTATCGCGTCGCGGTCAGCGATCGGGGACACCAATGGTCCCGCACCAAAGGTCACTCCGAAAAAAGCGCCAGCAAACCCGAGTTCCGGCGAACTCGAGCCTTCAAGCCCCACCGTCTGAGAGGGAAGGCTTAAGTCGGGCATCATGTCCTCCGACAGGCGGATTTTAGACGAACGATAGAAACATATTTACACAACACGCAAAAAAAGGAAAAAACAGCAAAAAAAAAAAAAAACAAAAAAAAAAGGCCCCAGACTATATTTTGACTATTTCTGCATATGCCTCCTGTGGAGGGACAGGCCCAGCTTACGGGGAGGCGAGGGCCGCAGCGCACGCTCCGCCCCTCCCCGCCCGCCCTCGGCTGCACGAGCAGATGGTCCATCCGCCGGGCCCCGCCAGCCGGAGGGGGAACGGGCACCCGAGATGTCTCCAGAGGGTTCCAAAAGGGGGGGGGGGGGGGGGGGGGTTTTCCAGCAGGGGTCCCCCAGGGGCTTCGCCCCCCTCGTTTTGACGAGGTTCCGAGGCCCCAGGGGGGCTCTCTGGAAAACCCCCTCCCCCCCAAACCCCCCTTTTGGAACCCTCCGGTGTTTGACCGCCCCCCCTCCCCAAGAGTCCAAGATCCAGCCCCAAGTCGGCCCAAAGAGCGCCGATCTGCAGGCCGCCCTGCCGATGGCCTTGGCAAGCGTCTTGTCCTTCAGCCGCACGAGGCTTGTGACCTTGCCCGACTCGCCGTACCGGGCCGTGCGTCCGGCCCTGCCGGGGTCGGGGCAAGGTCTGGGGCAGACTCCTCCTTCCTCCCTCCTACCCGCCGCCTCCCCCTTCCTCCCTCCTCACTCCTACCGAGCGTGTCTGGGACGTTTCCCGATCCGCCTCCTCCGCCTCCTCTCTCCTCTCTCCTCTCTCCTCTCTCCTCTCTCCTCTCTCCTCTCTCTCCTCTCCTCTCTCTCCTCCTCCTCCTCTCCTCCTCCTCCCCTCCTCCTCCTCCTCCTCCTCCTCCTCCTCCTCCTCCTCCTCCTCCTCCTCCTCCTCCTCCTCCTCTCTCCTCCTCCTCCTCCTCCTCCTCCTCCTCCTCCTCCTCCTCCTCCTCCTCCTCCTCCTCCTCCTCCTCCTCCTCCTCCTCTTTGGTTTCTCCAGACGCTCCTAGACGCCTGCAGAAGCAAGCGAGGCCTCCAAAGGTCCTCGGAGACGCACTGAGCTGGGCCCGTGCAAACCCGGGTCAGTCGGGCACTGATCCTGCAAACTCCTGCAGGGCCCTGCAGGCTCCTGCGCGCCAGCCCGCGTCGGTGCACCCACGGCTCTGCGGGGCCCTGCGAGATCCGGCGCTCCGGCGGACTCCCATCGGCATCGACGCCCGTCTCAAGGCTCCCGCGGTCCTCAGGCACGAATTGGCGGGAGGCGATCAATGAGGGGCAGCGAGGGCTGCAGAGAAGGAGGCCTTTGGGGCCCCTAGGGGTGCCCTTTCGGACCCAAGAAGGAGCCTTTAGGGCCAGAAAAAGTTACATTTCCCCGCCTCCCACCCCACCCCCCTTGATCGCCCCCTCATTAAGTCGCGCCCAATGCCCCCTAGCCTGGAGGCCTCCGGAGACGTCTGGGGAGACGACACGCTGCCAAAGCGCGCACCAAAAACTTCGGGCCGCGATCTTCGATCCCCTCCTCCCGCTCCTCCTCCTCCTCCTCCTCCTCCTCCTCCTCCTCCTCCTCCTCCTCCTCCTCCTCCTCCTCCTCCTCCTCCTCCTTATTCTCCCTGACGGGGCCAAGGGGCACTTAAACAGTGCACACGAATGCCAGGATTACCCCGTAATTTACCATGTCTTCTGGAGTTCCGTCTTCCCCTTGACTTCCCAATACTTTTCGTAATTTCATGGGTTTCAGCGATTCTTTGTGTCTGTGTGTTTTTGCCCCTCCTGACCCCCGCCCCCCGACCTGTGGAGGTAGTCGATCGAGTTCATGGGGAAGTCGAAGTTGACGACGTGACCGCAGTCGGGCAGATCCAGGCCCCGCTGGGCGATGTCTGTGCACACCACCTGACTGCCCACCAAACCATCCCAACGCAACCCGAGGTCGCCGTGGGGCCTGCCGGTTTCCAGCAGGGGGCCGTCCTGAAGCATCGAGAAAGCACAGGGTGGAACCCGCACGCCACCCAGACCGACATTGGGAGGGAGGTCTAGGACCGTCGGGTTGGGCTGGGGTGTTCTGTCGGCGGCGAGCGAGGGGGGGAAGCAGGAAGGAGGAGGCCCTCTCAGAAGGCTCGGAAGTTCTCTGGAGAAGCTTCCGAAGCCGCTCCCGAAGACACAGGGAACTTCTCAGACGGCGCGGGGGGCTCTGAGAAGCCTTCTGAGAACGCCTTCTCCTTCTCGCCTCCCCCCCTCGCTCGCCGCCGATTGGCAAGCAGTGCGGCCGTCTTGTACTCGCCCCGCGCGAACTTTCCCATGACGACCTGGGGCGAGAGCGCGCGCGGGGGGGCCACCTCCTCCTCTCCCTCCTCCTCCTCCTCCTCCTCCTCCTCCTCCTCCATCATCTCCTCCTCCCCTCCTCCTCCTCCTCCTCCTCCTCCTCCTCCTCCTCCTCCTCCTCCTCCTCCTCCCCCTCCTCCTCCCCCCTCCCTCCTCCTCCCTCCACGATGGGGCGGGCAGGGCCGATGCCACGGGCGAAGCCGTGCTGACGGAGAGGGAGGCCCGAGTCGGACCCGGACCCCCTCGGGCCATGGGAAAATCATGGCGGCAGGTGCCGCTCCAAATGATCGGCCCCTGGGGACCTTTCAGTTTAATTACCGGCCTGGAAGATATCCCCATCCCTGTGCTGGGCACCTCCTCATCACGATGCCAATCTCAGGGGTTCCCTTATTATTTGTTTGAAAGCGAATCCCTGAGATTGTCATCGCCTTTTGGCGTGTCAATCTTAGGGGTAGGGATAAGCTCGAGGCTGGTAACCAGTCGACTACGCAAAGAGTGACCCCAGGCAAGAGTGACACCCCTGGTGCGCGGCTCTATAGGGCAGGGGTCCGCAGGCACAGGCCAAATCCACGCGCGCAGGCCAGGTGCTGGGGGGACCCCTGCGAGCCCGCACCAAAAGGTCCCTCCGGCGCGAGGCCACTCCCGCTCTGAGCTTCTGGCGAAGCGTCGGGCGGGGGGCGTCACCCCCGCCGACAGCCCCACATCGACCCTCGTCGCGGGCAGCCACCGCGCGCCGAAGGCGCTCCGACCCCTGCCGCGGCGCGACGGTGAGGCGAGGTTGACCCTCGTCGGGGGGGGGGGCAGAATTCGCGTCGCCGATTCTGCCGGGCCTCGGGACCGTCAACGAGACGGCTCGGGACGCAGAACGGGCCTCCCGGGGGGATCGGTCGAGCCCTCCGGGAGCCGACGTGCTGAGGCAGTCACGGCGTCGGGGGTCTGGGGAGAGAGAGCGCTGCGGGGCAGGGCGATGCGTGCCGTGTTCCTCTCGGTTTGGAAGTCCCCCGCTGTCGCCCGTGCTCGGCGCGCAAGGGCTGCGATTGCCAGACTGATCGGCCGACTGCAGGAGCGGGGGGGGGGGCCTCTTACGCGAGCGCGCTTTCCCCCCCCGCGTCGTGCACAGCCTCACGAAGGAGCGCGCCGCGACGGCTGAAGGTGGTGGGTCGGATGCGTGGACCAGGCCGCGGCGTGCCCCATCATGCGCTGGGAGGGGTGGAGGACTGGCGGCGAGCGAGGGGGGGAAGTGAGAAGGAGAAGGCATCCTGGGAAGGCAGGCTTGACTTTTTAGAAGCCCTCGCGCCTTCTGCGACGTTCTCTGGGTCTTCGGGGAAGGCTCAGAAAACCTCTCAGAAGGCTGGAGGAATTCCGAGCCTTCTGAGAAGGCCCGCCCCTTTCACTTCCACCCCTCGCTCGCCGCCGAGAGAAAGCATCGTCGTGCTCGGATGTGTGCGGCCTCTCAACCATCGGTTCGGAACCATCTGTTCGCGAACTCCAAGGGCCCCAAGGGCCTTGTCCACGGCCGCTCGGCTGAGGGGTACCAGCGATGTTCCAAACGAACGATTCGTAAACGGTTCGGGGACAAACGCTCGCAAACTATGTCCGGGTCAGCCCTAGAGAGGCGCAGATTGTGAAGAAGAGTATCGAGAATCGGGGCTTTGTGATGTATTTTCCCCAGGCCCTCCTGTGGTGTTGGGTCCTAGCTGTCAAGCCGCAGCGCCCCGCGTATGTTCCCCCTCGTCCGCCCCCTCTCCTCCTACTCAGCGCATGTCCTGGTCATTTCGGCACACTCCTCACCCAGTTCGGGGCCCCATAAAAAGCTCCGCCCACGGTCTCGGCCACCACGACCGCATGGCGTCCCCTCGCCCATCTCGGCACACCCCTCACAGGATCCGTGGCCCCACAGGGAACTCCACAGACCGCCTCGGTGACCACGACCGCATGACGACCCCGCGCCAATGCATTTAGTCACTTCCCTCGAACAATTCGTGGCCCCATGAGGAGATACACCCGAGATCTTGATGGCCACGACCACATCATGTGCTCCCAACTTCGCGCTTCGCGCTCCGCGAAGCGCGAAGCGCGAATAACTTCGCGCTCTCGCGCCGCCCCCCCAAAGGGAGAAAAGGAGGACGAGGAGGAGGGGGAGGAGAAACGAGGACCGCGAAGCGCGAAGCGCGAATAACTTCGCGCCCTCGGGGGAGCCCTTGATTCGTGGCCCCATGAGGAGATACACCCGAGATCTTGATGGCCACGACCACATGGCGCCCCCGCGCCCATCTCGACACACCGCTCACGCGGACCGTGGGCCCCGTTGGGAGCTCCACCCACGGCCTCCGCGAGGGAGGTCCCGCGGGGGGGCTCCGCACAACATTCGGCACACCTCCCTGTCGCAGATCGTGCCCCACAGGAAGCCCCGCGCGCCTCGGAGCGAGTGCCCCGCAGCCCCCTTTTCTGCACTGCTCCGCGGCGGATCTTGCACGGACGTGGGGAGAGGGCCGTGCCCCGCCCTGCGCGCAGCTGCATAGTGTTCGGGGCCCTTCGCCTGATTCATGAGGCCATGGGGGGAGGCCTCCGGAGGAGACCCCGGGGAGACCTCTGCGGGGACGAGCAGGACGAGGAGGGGGAGGGGGAATACGACACGGAGGACGAACGCGTCCTCCCAGAGAGTGGACGAGCAGCACGAGGAGGGGGAGGGGGACTACGACACGGAGGACGAGTGCGTCCTCCGAGAGGGTGCAGCCGAGCAACTCGGAAGCATCCAGACAGTGATGGGGCAGGGGGGCGAGCTCGCCCCGCGCGAAATTTCCCATCCAAGACCATTCGCTCCTCACAGGGCATGTCCTTGTGGAGGGTGCCGATGTACTGGTTGTTCCTGTCCCTGATGAAGGCCTCCCGCAGCTGGTACGAGACGGACTTGCAAGATGAAATGTTGTTGCAGAAGATCAGCGTCTGCCGCGATTCCATCCGTCCACACAGCTCAGGGGCCATCAAGCCAACCAGCATCTCCAGCTTGTCCCTGCCTTTCGTCATCAAGAACGAATGACTGCAACTGTTTTGCGGAGAGTGGAGCGCCTTCGACTCGAGAACCCGTAGTTTGCGCCACCGCTTATCGCTCTGGAACAGCGCCCACAACGGCTTGGTAATGCTCGCTGTGACGAGGGTGTAATGGATGAGCTTCTCATCATCCCTGAACTTTTGCCAGGCGTTCAGTCCCAAGGCTTCTCTCTCGATAGCCTGAAGCAGCATCTCGAGATCTTCGAAGCCCTGCGTCAGCAGGAAATCTGCCTCGTCGATGGACACCCATCGTGTCCTGCTGAAACTGACAAGCCCCTGCTCGTGAAATGCTAAGAGGCGGTGTGGGGTGCACACGATGATGTCGTATATCCCACCGATGCGGTTCATCTGCTGCTTCCAGGTCTCCTTGCCACCGTGCACGAGGCGCACGCGCACGTCGCAATGGTAGGAGGCCAGCTTGATCACCCGATACGTCTGGATGGCCAACTCGCGGGTTGGGCAAACGACCACGGCGAACGGCGACTCCTGGGGAAACCAAGAGGCACCCCTACCGCTACAAGTCGGACTCGATTGGACAGAACACGCAAGAGGACACAAGACCCCTCCGAGGGCCACGCTGCCACAGGAATGCAGGAGGCATGGGTCGCGAGACACAGGACACAAGGGTACCCTTGATTTGGCAGGGTCGACCCACGAATCTGGGCCGACTGTACTCCCTGGGCCTCTTCCAGGGTGCGCTCTGACCAGGACTTCGAGGCCTCTCTCCAGCGGTGGCGACGACGGCCCCCTTTGGAGGCCCAGGCGGGCGAAGGGCGAGAAAAGCTCAGCTGCCCCGCTACGCAGCACGCAGCACGCAGCGTGCTGGCACGGAGCTCGGCACGCAGACTGGAAGCGCAGGCCCGGCGCGACGCGCTCGCCAACGCGTGGGCCAACACATGCCGAGCCAACACACAGCGTGTGAACACGGACGCTTGGAACACGCTTGGTGTTGCGCTTCCACACGGGCGTATCAGCAGGTCGGGCCTGTCCCCCGTACAGGCGGATGCTGGACGAAAGATCAAACAGAGACACCAAAACCGTTCCAACAATGCTAAAACATACTCCAAGAATCGTCCCCAGACTGTTTTCTAGACCTACTTTTGAAGATTCCTCCTGTAGAGGGACACGCCCGATTTAAGCGTAGCAGTGCAGCCGAGGAGGCACGGGTAGCTGTGTGGGTACCTCTTCCTCCTCCGCACTCCGAGTGCACGTCGAGCCCGTAGTTCATGGGCGTGGCGTTCTTGGCGTCCTGCGGCGGACGGGCACGGCCCGCCAAGCCAGAAAAAAAACGCGGGCGCCCGGGGGCGGCCGCAGACTCTCCAGGGCGCCGAGCACCTCGAGGCACCCCTCCCGGGCTCGCAGCGCGCGCCGCGAGGTGCCTGCATACAGAATCGCAGCAACCCAGCCCGGAGACCCGAATTTCGGGGGGGGGGTACGGGTTCCACATGTGCTTCTGTGGTGTTCCCCGGCGCACCCCTCCAAGTGAGAACGGAGAGCAAAGTTCGGGGGCGCGCAAACATGGATCAGCGATCCATGGATTTGGCGCGCGGTCGCCAAATCCATGGGTCGGGTGAGGTGCTCTCCCCAAAATGCGGCCGGCGCCGCTTCGTTACCCGCGATTTCCCATGGAAACGGGACCCGTGGCTGATCCACGCCCCCTTGATACATGTTTGCGAGCACCTGAAAAGTGGGGCCTTCGGGCTGGGCGGGGGTCATTTTGGTGGGTAGCGGCAAAGAACTCGAAGCACGCCTCCCGGGGTCGCACAGAGCGCCGGGGGGGGGGGGGGAGGCGACGCAGGCGCCACGGCGCCTGCGGAAATCTGCCATCCGCGGACGTCCGAAGTTCGTGTCCATGCGGCGGTCTCTGGTCGGGGGCGCGCAAACATGGATTCACGATCCATGGATGTGGCGCGCGGTCGCCAAATCCATGGATCGGGGGAGGTGCCCTCGCCAAAATGCGACCAGTGCCGCTTCGCTCGGCGGCGGCAATTCGCGATCCCCATGAAAACGGGACCTGTCGCTAATCCACGCCCCCTTAATCCATGTTTGCGATCAACTGATCACAGCCCAAGACACATTTCCAACCGTGGGTTTTCTGACCCCCTGTCCTGGAGGAACCAAAACTGCATCAGCATAAACGTTCTGAGGTCCGCGCGGAATTCTTGCATCTACGCTGGACCCCCCACCCTGGCGCGCGGACCACACCAACGGTGGCGCCAGAGGCGCTGCCAAGGGGTGGTACCAGCGCCGATCCGAGAAACCCGCGCGGAGCGCCGAAAATTTCAGGTCACGCAGTTGTTCTCCTTCCCTGCCCTGGCAGAACCCATCGATGCCGACACCGCTACTCCGCGGACATCTCCGGCGGTGCGTTCTGACCAGGATTTCGAGGTGAGTCCAGCGGTGGCGGCGAGGGTCTCCAAGGAGGCCCAAACAGGCGAAAATAAGGCAAGAGTAGTGGCATTGGTACAGTTTACCTCTCTGGTGTCCTTCACCATCTGCAGCAGTGGCAGCACGTATGCCAGCGTCTTGCCCGACCCTGTCTCGGCGGCGATCACGAGCTGCTCCCCCTCGAGGATCCTCGGGATGCACTGCGCCTGCGAAAGAGCGGGCTGGCGTCTTATCCAAACTCTAAAACATTTCGAGCCCTCGGCCCCGAGAGGCCCCCAAGAGGCCCCAAGAGGCCCCCAAGAGGCCCCCAAGAGGCCCGAAGCCCCACTAAGCCCCCAAGAGGTTTCCCAGAGGCCCCCAAGTAGTTCCCAAGAGGCCCAGAAACTGCCCCCAAAATGCGCCCAAAAGCGCCCCGAAGAGGCCCCAAGAAGCATCTCTGAGGACTCTGACCCACAGCAACGTCGTCAAGGTCGTCGTCGCCGCCACCGCCGTCGTCGTCGTCGTCGTCGTCGTCGCCGTCGTCGTCGTCGTCGTCGTCGTCGTCGTCGTCGCCCCCCTTCAGGGTCGGCGGCACTGGCCGCAAGGCCTTCCCATTCTCGCCGAAGCTCAGGCCGACGGGCTGAGGCGGATCAAGTAGGGGGCCACATGCGAGCCCTACCCCCTGCCCCGCACGATTCTTCTCAGGGCGAGGGGGAGCTCCCGAGCGAAGTGAGCCCCACCCCACCCCATCCGAAGTGGTGGGGGGCAGGGGTAGGGTTCGCATGTGGCCCCCAAGAAAGGGTCGAAGATCGACGGTCGGTCGAGGAGCCTCGAGGATCAATTGGAGATCGTTGCTTATCTTTCAGCGGCAGCACAGGCTATCCGGTGGGTGGGGAGGGAGGTGTCAACCGATGGCCGAACCGTTTCCGCTCTGGCGTGCCCCTGGGCACCAGTACGGCGTAACCCATTCGGACCTCCGCTACTAACAAAGCCAGGTCATGTGAGGGGGAGGGGCAACGATAGGGGGGACTGGCATAAGGGGGGATGCATCGACCTAGAATCGGCGATACATCGCCGATAGATCGGCGATAAGCCCCCGATAGTGATTCCGCGCCTTCCTGTGCAGGTTGGGGTTATCGGGCCCCTAGCGGCGATCAATGGGCGACTGGGGGTCATATGGAGTGGAAAAGGAGGGCGGGCGGGCCAGATGACCCGGGTTATCGCCAGACCCTGAAAAAGAAACAATCTCCAGGCCGACGATCTAGAGTGGATCAAGGATCATGGCTTGAGGGTCGGTCGAGGAGTCTGGAGGATCAACTGTTTTGGCGTTTTTTGGCCCTCTTAAACCTCTGGGGATATCCTGATGAGAGCTCCATAGACCCAGAGCAGCGTCTCGAGGCTACTGCTGAATGGTCCAGACGCCGTCACGTGCCAATTATTTGGGAGCTTTGAACATCTTTCTGGTACTCGGTAAGGCACATCTAGTGTCCCGATCGTGTCCTTTGATGTTCCTGTTGCGACAAATCACGCCCCGCACGCAATCGGCGCGCATATCTGCCATCGCGTCGGACTGTACGAGCAAAGTCGGAACACTATTCGGAACACGATCGGAAAACATCGGAACACTGTTGCAATACGATTCGGAACGCTATTCGGAATTCGCCGGCCCAACGGGCCAGAGGCGTGCTAAGATCTCCGGTAACTTGTTAACAATATTTCTAGTTCGCGCGCGCGGAGCGGCCCCTGGGGGCCCCCGGACGAAAAGTACCCCGGCAAGGTCCCGAGAGAAGCCCGGGAGAAGCCACCAGACCACTCCAGGGGAGGGTATTTTTCGACACCCCTCACGAGGATCGTGGCCTCCGAGGGGGGAGCCGCAATCGACTACCCCCAGGAGCCCCCCAAGAGGCCCTGGGGGCCTCCAAAACGCCGCCAAGGAGCCCCAAGAGACTCCCAAGAGGTCCCCAAGAGGCCCCCAAGAGGCCCTAAAGAGGGCTCCAGGGCCGGCGGCATGAGCGAAGCGATTAAATAATATTCGGAACGCGATCGGAACAAAAACCGATTCGAACACTACTGAGACGCGGTCGGAACACCATTCGGGCCCAAGAATCATCGCGGCACCACTGAGGAACACACTCTGGAAACTAGGGCCAAGAACTGAATGACACATAAGGCTCGCAATAATTGCCACGCGGCCACCCGCTAGCGAAAAAACTAGAGCCAATTCTTACTCCGCCCTGTCCACGTCATCAGCACTGGGAGTCGTAGTCGCAACCATTCTGCATTCCCTAACTCCCTCATTCCACAACACTCCTGATTGTGCGGTTCACTGGCGTTTCCTGGCCTTCTCCTCCTCTTGCTCCTCCTCCTCACAATCGTAACCCTACACTTCAGCCATCCCGCTTCCTAATGAACGACTGCTCTCCTTCGTGCCAACCAACTGCGTCGCCTGAGAGGTCTAGGCGTGTCGCTCGGGATTTCCACACCACGCACGAACCAGAAACTCACACTATCAAACAATAACACAACATCATGGCGGTCTGAGGTGTGGCCTTTATGCTATCGATCTAGAGCAGAGCGGGCTGACTATTGGTCTTCACAGATCCCAGCGAAAACGCGGATGGTGGGCGGCACGTTTGCCATGCTGAGACTCCCAGCCTCACGCTGCGCACATTCGCACTGACATCTTCTAGCAACTACCTGGATGGAGGCACTTGCATTATAAAATGAAATTCCCGCTGGAGACCCCTGATACATTGCGGCCAGAAATTACAGCACCTGCAGCGGCTACATGAAAACATGATGGGTTATGTGTCGAAGCGAAGATCTCGATGCAAACGCTCGTGAACTTCATGGTTGAATGTGATGAGCTCCTTCTAGCTAGAAAGACAAGCAACGGGTGCTTGTCATAATGATGCCCTCGCCTACATGGCAAGCCACTGGGGCGTTGGCCGTGCAAAGGGGCACCTTCCGCGGTGAAGCGGGATGTCTGCTGGGTCATGCGAAGCAGGGGGCGGTGGGGGGCATTGCAACGACATTGGCGCATCTGGAGGAAAACGTTGTCCTCCCCGTCTACCTTCAACGAGGATCGTGTGAGGAGGGGGAGGGGGGCGCGTTCGATCATAGGCTGGGTGGATGCCTCCAGCGCCTGCCTAGCGCATGCAACGCCGTCAGGCTAGGCCTCTACAAGCCAGAAGGGTCCCCCCCAAGCCCACGGATCCGTGCTTGACATGCGTACAGCCTGTACTATCTATCACACGAGCTGCACCACGCGCGGTATCACGAACCTCGTATAGTAGATATGCGAGCGCGCCAGGTAGGAGCTGCGCGCGCGCGCCACCGCGCAGAGTGTTCAGCACGTCGCGCCCCGCGCGCGCTGGGCCGTTCCTATCCCCCTGTGATCTTACCCCCCCCATCGCGAGAAGGTGTTTGCATGCCCGGATTCGCGTTCGCGTGGCTCGACGGGCGCCCCAAGTGTCAACGGTGTTCCAGATCATTTCAAGCGGCGAAGAGAGTAAATGAGGGGTCCGACTGAAAAAGAGGTCTAGGAGACGTGGCCGCCCCCCCCAAAAACATACTCAACATAAGTAGAACAGAAGCCCCTTTCTGGCGCCTTTTTCGAACCCGGCCTGGCGATTCGTGGAAAAAAAAACTCGCACGATGCCTTGGGCAAGATCGAATGCCTTTTTACGAGCCTCCGCGGCGCATGCTGAGATCTCCGAGCGGCCCCTATGAAACTGACTGGTGCCTCCCAGCTAGTAGGGCACAGCTGTGCACTCTGAAACCAAGTTGTGAAACTCTGCGGCGCCTGTTCGGGCCCTTTGGGGAGCCTGTGATGAACCTATTGGGAGCCAGTGGCGAGCTTCTTGGGAGCCTGCAGTAAGCCTATCTTGGGCATCTGGGGGGTCTCGTGAGAGTGCATCGGGAGGCTCTTCGGGACCTTTGAAGATCGTCTTATCAATCTATTGAGGGCCTCTTGAGACCGTCTTAGGGGCTTGTCCGTTTCGCCCTTCGCTCTGAGCGCTCGGAGGCCGTTGAAGTTACCCGCCTCCAGGCAGCCCCTGGATATGAACAGCTCTTTCTGGGGATGCGTGTCAGGGCACTGTGCAACGGGCGCGGCGCCTTTTGCATCCCCCGGGCAATTCGCGCTTGATTTGGCAATCCCACGCCCTCGTCGCACGCCTGGGAGGAGGATTGAGAACAACAAAGACCCCGCGAACACACCTTCGGATTCCCCTTCAAAAATCTGGCCAACAAAAACACAACTTGTTGCAGCTGCGCGCATTGCAGGCAGCTTTCATACTTTGCGCACCGCGGGAAGGAGAGAACTGGAACTTGGGGCGAAAGCTGCGCGGGGGGCGCGCCGACTGGGGCGGGGCCTGCAGATGCGAAGCTACCAGCTGATCCTGGTTGCATCTAGTTACTTGCACTTGGATGCCACGCGTGGAAAACATTGCATCAGTTGCACCTACAATGGAGGACTCTGAGCCACATGCGTATAGTTGGACCTTCCAGGCATCGGGTACTTTAACATGTTGACATTTCCGCACATGCAGTATACGCAACCATTATGTGGATCAGTCCACCCATAGGAAGTCCAACCAACTTCGTTCCAACGCGGCCGCTAAGGTCTTCTGCTGGGCGCAAGTGCAAACCCTTGATAGCGGCGGCGAATGCCGAAGCCCCCGACGGACAAATCGGCCCACGCCCGCCACCGTGCCTACAGCGCGAAATGGACCGTCTCTACGTCCTGATTCAAGGGATTCGTTTCTAGGATCTGAGAGGCACCGCTCCCTGGGCGCTGAGCCGGCCCGCAACTCTCGAGGGCCCCCGAAGGGCCCCCCACGCGGCCTGCGAGCGCCGAGACGGCCCGAAAGCGCCCCGAGACGCCAAAGATAGCTGCAAGGCGGCCCAAGAGGCCTCCATGGCGCCCAAGGAAGGCCCCAGGGAGATTCCCCGAGCAGGCCTTCTGAGAGACAAAATATTGCAAATTTGAATGATTTCAGCGCTCTCGTCTGCCCGAGCCCCCGACGCCCCGCGGCGATTCAAGAAGGGCCCAAGATCGCCCCGATTCAGCCCAGGAGGCTCCCAAGTGGCCCCTACGACGTGGCCGAGGCGGCCCACTATCTGCCAGACGGCGCAAGAGGCGCCCCGAGGCGACACTAGAGGACTGCCAGAGGCCGAATAAGGGGAATTCGAACTGACGCACGCGTCGAGCGCGCCGCCGCAA